CAGCTACTCGTAATGGGATTTGGAATGCAACTTTTCAGATACATGTAAATGTGGATAGCGTATATATGTATATGTGTATGTTTGTACGCCACAATGTAGACAAAGCTCACCGAGCTACTGGCTAATTAGCAACACAACGCAACGAATTGCATTGAAGCTCAGCAGATGCGGCTCAGCTCGATATTATTTGCCACAATGAGCTTTAGCATTCGCAATGGCAAATTTGCGGCTTTTTTTTTGTGGCCAGCAAAACCAAAAAAAAAAATTATCTACTATACATGAACGCATAGTTTAATTAGGCAGTGAAGCGAGAAGCAAAATAATTGATTTACCGAAGTAAGCCAAATGAAAAACTTGGACAAAAAAGCGCTATCCTCTTTCGAAGTTTCAACTGTCGCGGCGTCGTCGACATGCCCACTGAGCGAGTTGGCGAATTGGCTTAATTAAAACACTGCGGCAGCAGAGCTACAACTTTAATACAGCCATAATACTTGGCGCTTGTTGTTGTTGTTGCTATAGGGCAATGGCGCACATGCACTCATACTAACATACATACATACATACCCATTCAAGGTCAAATTTGTAGCAGTCGCGCATTACATGCACACACACACACACAAACAAACACACGCTCGCGGAAGTCTCGTCATACTCGTAAGCCGAAGTGAAAATGGCGCACAAACGCCGCATAAAAGCCGCATTATATGTAGTGAAAATATTGAAGCTAGTAAAAATAGAGCGCAAAATCCTTTTGCTCAGAAATTATGCTACATATTTACACGCTACAATGCAAATGAGATTTCGCCTTAAAATTACATAGCCACAACGGGAGGCGCATACGTCTCGTCTCGCCCTTAGCCCACAGCTCCACTGTGCTGCTGCTAATTTATTCCTTTACCTGTGGTTTGGTCCAATGCGCTTGCAACTGTAGCAACTGTGGCAGTTGGGCGCAAACTGTTTTTTCGTTTGATTCGCACTGCAGCAAAGTAGCAGAAATGCAATTTTATTTAACACATTCGTAACCTACATACATACATACATACATACATACATACATATATACTGTATATTGCTGGTGGTGCATAGTTTAATTAACAATTAATTGTGTACGCTTGCTTTGCTGTGAAGTTAATTATGTAGATATTACTGAAAGTCAGTTACTGCCGACGGCAACGGATCCGCGTTACTGTTGAAAGAGGAGGGAGGGGAGGTGCTTTGGTCGCCCATATCTTTTCTCATAAGCACAGATTGTATTGTAAATAAAAGTGATTTTTATATGGAATCCAAAAGACATTTTGAAGTGTGTGCGATACCGTTTATTTGCTAAGATTTTTTAAGAAATAATAAAATGAAACGCTGCCATCTTGCTCTGACGTTTTAAGAATTTAAATATTGAAATTTTTTGGTAGCATTCAGGATTTATTCGTAATTTTTTTTTTGGGAATTTTTTGGAGTTTTTGAAATACTTCATGATATTTTGTTAGGAATATTTAAGGACTTTTGGGAGCTTTGCTGAGATTTTTCGGGACATTTATGAATTTTTCGGACTTGTTTCATTATTTTCCGAACTTTTCGGTACTTTGTTAGGACTTACTGGTTTTCGTAATTTAAGATTTTATCGGAGTTTTTTCGGGACTATTCAGGATTTCTTCGCAATTTCCGCAATTTGATTTCATCCCGAGTTTCCGGAACAAGAATTTTATTTTTGGAACTTTTCGTGGTTATTTTTCGGCATTTTTCGGAATATATAACAACTTTTGGGAACTTTGTCCCGTGTCTCTTGTGAATTTATCAGACTTGATTCATATTTCTCCAAACTTTTCGGTATCTTTTCGGAACTTACTGCTTCTCGTTTTATTTTTCTGTTTTTATTACTGTTTTTCGCAATTTAAGCTTTTTTCGGAATTTTTCGGGACCATTCCGGGGTTTTTCCCGATTTCCGCAAATTTCCTGATTTTATTGCTGATTTCCGGGACGAGCATTTTATATTTTGAATTTTCCGGGTTTTTTAAATGCTTTGTGATTTATTTTTCGGAATATATATAAAAGAACTTTTGGGAACTTTGTCCAGATTTTTGGTGTAATTTGAGAATTTTTCAGACTTGATTCATATTTCTACGCACTTTTTGGTACTTTTTTAGGACTTACTGGTTTTCGTAATTTAAGATTTTATCGGAATTTGTTTCGGGACCATTCAGGATTTCTTCGCAATTTGGTCAGATTTTTTCGCGAATCCCAACGACGAGAGTTTTTTTTGGAACTTTTTGGAGTTCTTGAAATACGTTGTGATTTTGTTCGGCATTTTTCGGAATATTTATAAACTTTTGCTTAATTTTTCGAGATTTTTCGGAACATTTGCGAAATTTTCGCACTTCATTCATATTTTTAAGAACTTTTCAGAATTTTTTCGGGACTTACTGTTTCTCGAAATTTACCGAGATAGCTCGTATTTTTCCGAATTCCGGGCATTGTTCGTATTTTTCCGAATTTTCTGTATTTAAAATTTTTCGGCTCTTTCTGTTATAGTTCGTAACATTTCAACATATTTTGAGAACTTTCTGAAATACTTCGTGGATTTTTTTATAATATATAATGTTTTTTATTGAGAATTTTCAATGTTCTGTTGAGAGTTCTTGTGTCCTTTTAGAACTTTTCGGGCGTAATTCGCATTTTTGTGGACTTTTCGATATTCTTTGAAACTCTTTGTGATTTTCTCGGGACTTTTCGGAATAATTTGTGATGTGTGTGTGGAATGTTTTGGTGTATATTTTGAGCTTTTTCGTATTTTTCCAGACTTTTCGGGTGTTTTCAGGTTTCTTCGTAATTGTTGGAATTTTTTGTGAACCTTTGGGATTTGGGAATTTCGAAAATCTTTCGGGTTTTATTTTCCCCGTTCTTTCGGGATTTTAACAAACCTTTTGGAGTTTTTGACTTTTCGGGACCATTTAGGAATTTTCAAGCTTACCTCAAGTATGTCCAGACTTGGCGAAAATTTTTGAGATACTTCGTAACTTGTTAGAATTGTTCGAGAACCTTTAATTTTTTTTCGAAATGGTTTGGGATGCCTGGTGTGTTATTTTTCGGAATCGTTCGAGATTTTTTTTGGAAATTTTCGGACTTCGTTTGTGAATTACTGTGTGATTTATGTTTTTTCGAAATCATTCAAAATTCTGTTTTCATCTTTTGGGGTTTTCTCAGAAAATTTCGGGCTTAAATTCGAATATTTCTTGACTTTGCAGGACTTTTTTGGTAGCACTCATAATTTTTCAGTTTTTTTGGATTTTCCGCAATTTTTCGGTGTTTTCTGGTAACTTTCGTACTTCATACATCTTTTCGGAACTTCCCGTATTTTTCAAACACTTTCAGGCACAAAGCTACATATAAATCTTAATTTTGCTTTATATGAATGCCTGAAAAACAAAAACAAAAACACCGAATTTTTTCTGTTGAAAAATTATCAGAAAAACTTGGCCTTAAAAACAACTAAAATCTTTTGAGCTGAATCCACAGTGCATACCTAAACTATCGTTGACTTAACTCAAAACAAAATTTTGACTTTAAATTCATATTCACGGTGGCACTGTCAAATATGGATATGCATAAAATTATGCAACTTTAATAAATCTGAGTTTTTCTATACAAATGTGATTTCTGTTCCACCAAAAAATAGCAACAGTTATGAAGATTTTAACTGTAATAGCAGCTGGGGTGAAACAACTTCCATCACTTATTATGATTGTGTGTATTAGGGTGTCCGTTATTTACTAAGTCCTTTTTTTAGCTTTCTCTTAGAAATGTTCCTGAAAGTATTGTTCGCTTATTGTTCGCTTTGGGAACGTTCCGCAGGTTTTTTTTTCTTATATAACTCCTGCTGAGAACATGCTCGACAACTTTGTTCTTGTGAAAAAATTCCGAAGGCTTTGTTCTCATCTCGGTTTGGGTTTTTGAGCGTTCTTGCCCAGCAAAAAATCGGTAATCGCTTTTAGTGGTAATATGTTCTAGAAGGCATAGCGTTATAATGTCTTCGAATTTGTTCGCTTCTTTTAGGCATTGCCGGTTATGCAAAGTAGATTGTCCTACAATATTTTTGTTATATCACTTCTTTGTTTCATTTCGGGGAGTGCAAACTAGAATGTCCTATAACATAAATTTTTTTTATTCGCTTCTTTGCTTCATTCTACATTAGTTTCTGTGTAAGGCATTCTTTTTTCGCTTCTCTGGATTCTGTTTATCCATGCCTTCTCCCTTCGTTCGAAGGTAATGCTGCGGGTAAGGGCTTACGGCCAATGACATGCCCATGTTAAAATAATGCCTTCTTGAAGCGAAAGGATAAGCGATCATACCTTTTGTTCTCGGTCCCTTTTTTAAATATCTACTGCTATCAAACCACCTTTATAGAGCTATTTTGAAAACATTCGATCGTAAAATTCTCCAACCATGGTGAGTTCAGAATCTACTTAATTTGGACGACGCTATTTTACTCTTTGAGTGTACCATTAAAAATTTATGACGTGATCTATCACCCAGCTAGCTCTCTTTTACCTGGCGGTGGATTTATTTACTTCAAATACATGTCGATATATAAATGTATTTCAGAAAATAAACGCTTTCTCCTTACTCAATATTTGCGTTTTAGTGTCTCCAATGTGTTTTTTTATCGCATTTTTTATGTTGAAAACTTCCGAGCTTATTTATGTTTTAAATATTTATTTGTAAATTTACTCTTTAATATTTCACTTATTTATTATTTTCCCTTGATTTTTATACATACACATACCTCAACGACAGCGCATATTTTATGCTCTTTGTGTCTGCATAAATTTTAATTCTCGCAATCATACGCTTGCACTGCTGACATTCCTGACATACGCTGCATAAATTTTTATTATCATTATACATGCATTTTTTTTTTGNTTTTTTTTTTTTTGCAAATACAATTGTGTCTATGGACTATCTCTTCATTACTTTATTTCTCCACTCTGTCTCTTTTGCCTCCGTAGAAATACCCGCCGATTCACGAGCCATCATCAGCGGCCCAGCCGATCTGCATTTCAAAGTCGGCAGCGCAATTATACTCAACTGTCATGTGCAACAGCCGAGCATTCGTGATATTGGACCGATTTATTGGTATCGCGGCGAGCATATAATCACGCCCTTCGAACTCGACGACGATGACGACGACGACGAGGCTGATAATAATGTTGCTCATGCTGATGATGCCGAGGAGTTGGAGAGCAACGACAACAATGGACACGTGAATGCCTACGCCGAAGGAGCAACGCTGCATAAGCGCCAGCCATCATCGCTTGCAAACAATGAGGTGGAAGTTGATGTGACAGCGACGATAACAAATGTCAATGCATTGGCTGCTGCAGGCAGTCGCAGTAGCAAGGGCAACTCAGGTCGCAGCCGTGCAGCGATGGCTATAGCGGCGGCGACCACGACAGCTCTGCATGATGGCTTAACCAACGACATAACACCGGACTTCACAGCGCGCATAGCAATGGAATCACAGCTGGGTGATACAATGAAATCAAGGTAAGCATTTGTGGAGGGGGCATTAAACATTGGTAGAAGGTTGGTTGTTGCTGCTGTTTTGGGGGCAGGCAAAATTGCATGGAAAGTTGAAAGTCAAAAGTAGCCAACTGCAGCATTAACAAATGCTCCATCAGCAGCGCCAGCAGCGCCAGCACCAACTCAACCGCTAGCAACAGCACTTGCGCCAATCGGTTGACCGTGTCAACATGCAAATGAATATTGCAAAGTCGTAACGGCTGCCTGTCGCACAGAGATACCTTTATGCTGCACGCAAGAGATCAAGTGTGCACTGCCCTGCCTCAACTCTGGCTGTGTGTTTGTGTTTGTATTTGTGCGCCTGCGATAGCATACTTGTCACTTTGGCTTTGATTGCTGTGCGCTGCCATCGCTATGGCAGCCTGCATAAATAAATATTTAAGCCTTTAGATTTTAATGCATTGCTATTCATGGCTGGCTGGCTGGCTGGCTGGCTTCATCTTCTGCTTCTGCACATTTTCTTTTGATGTGGTGCAGTGACAAATTTTTTACGCACATGCTCATACCTACTTATGACTCCCAACGTTAGCTGTCGCATACTACTTGAGCTTCGGCTTACATTTCCACGCTCATTCACTCATCCATCGCAATTACTGTTCTCGCACATACATATTTATGTATGTATGTATGTACATATTTGCTACTTATGTGCTACGTTATGTTTTATATGTCTTCATTTGTCCATTTTCTGCATCTTTCTTCAACTTACCACATACACTTTTCCATCTTCTTCTTCTTCTTCTCACACAGGTTGCGCATTTCGAATGCACAAACAACGGATACAGGGAATTACAC